GTACATGAGGTGAATACAGAAGGCGGAATGGTCAGAAGAGAAGATTGCGTTTAAGCTGGGATCAGCGCCCCAACCCTCTGCTTCAATGCGAAGAGTCCATTCCAACAAATGAACTTGTTAAGCAGGTAAGGTCTAGGTTTGATGGTCCGAGCGCTCATGTCACAAGCAGCAGGTGCGAGCGAAGCCTAGGAGGTAAAGTTTATGGAATCTGCCCGGTACCCTAAAACCGTTTTTAACAAGAAGTTTTATGTACTTAATAAGGATATAAAATAAAATTTAAACTAAAAAGTAAGTTCTGGCAAAAAAAAGTTTGCAGTGGAGGTTCTTTTTGTTTTCTAGCAAAAAAGATTTTTCGTAACATTAATTTATCTACTTATGTAAGTTTTTAACGCAGTATCTAATATTCCTTTTCCAACTCCATAACAAGATAAAATCTCCAAAGAATCGTATGAAGATTTACAAAGAATATCGGCTTTATAATTTAAAAGGTGCCCTTCGCACTCTTTACAGGGTAACTGCTTCTAAGCTAACCTCCTAAACATAAATGAAATTAAATGTTGGAACTAGTTTACTTTCTTGATTATTTAATCTTATATAAGTTGTAGTTGTCATTATAATAATAAATAGCTACCATTAAGTCTGTCTCCGACTAACTAAATTTAACCAAATGCTTAAAATAGTTAAGACTCGGCAGTTCCTTCTTCAAACCCAGAGCAGAAAGGGCATGAGGACTTGACATTTTCCATTCCTTCCTCCTTATTTTAATACAAAAAGATGGGCAATTTTTAAACATATTTAACTTTAAGTAAGGGCTTGCGTTTGTTGCAGAAGATTCACCACTGCAGCATCCCATAGGAGTTTGGGCTGTATTTCAACCCCAATGCAGTTGTGTTAAACAAAAAATAGTATAATCCCAATTATTTTCTTCACTTCACTTGAAAATTTGTGAAATTATGTTTGAATTGTTAAATTCAATTAAAGCTACGGAGGTCTGCAAAGGTCATTTTTTAAATTAAAATCTTGAAACAATTAGAGCTATAAAGGAATAAAAAGCCATAAAATTAGTTATAATGTCAACAAGCCTTAACACTAAAAAGTCCACCATATAAACTTTTAAAAGCACAAATGCGCTTAGAGGAGATGATATTAGCGGTAAAATGCTTGTCGAATTCCGAAGTAGCTGGTTCTCGTCGAAAGAAAATTAGATTTAATTTTGTAATACTGAAACATCCTTTATTATCTACTCAATTTATTTTAGAATATTTGTATAATAAAATGATATTACACAAAAACTTCCGTCAGAAAAATCATCCCACAATTTAATAATGCAACGTGGATATTCAACTAAATATTATATTAACAAAAACTGTTCCTTTTGTAGGTATGCGTTATAATATTGTATATTCGGTTAAATTTAATTAGTTGAAGCCAGAGTTAATGCTAGTTATTTATTATTATGGTAGAAATTGCTTGTAATAAGGAACCCAAGCCTGGATGAATTAATCTCAGATACAGGCAATAAAATGTTACATATTGAATCTTATACTAAAAGTCGAGTATACTCAAATAGTAAATAAACTTGATTATAACACTGTTTAATACGAATATATTACATTTAGTGAAAAATAAAATAAAGTAATTCACTTTACTTTCTATACGCTAAAATTGAAGGATCTTGCGAACTCACTTGAACAGATTTAAACCTATGGTTTTCTGTTCCCAAAACAAAAGCGTTAACGGATTACGTGAATTATTTAGGAATTCCGGAAAATCTAATTTTTCTACTTTTAAAATAGTGGGGGATCTTCTGCAATGAACGCAAGCTTGACAGAGCATCGTTACGTGGAGGAAGACAGCATATTATTGTGATTTTCTCTTCTTTTTCAATTAAAGAATATAAAAAAATACATAATAAGGATGCTGCACCACGATTTTTTTCGCATACTTCATTTGCGATTAAGCATCCAGAAACAACGAAAATGAAGCAAGCACCGCAGAACACAAGACTAAGGAGACTTGGGTTTTTGAGTGTAGGTTGCTTTTCCGGTGTATTTGCCTCACAATGCAGAGTCTGCTGAGACCCTCCCACCGTCACCTTCGCAACAACGCGTATCAGGTTGCGTCCGCAGTACCACCTTGCATCCACCCAAGAACGCAAGCGTGAGATAATGCGGTCGCTCTCACTAGTTAAACTCGCTGACCATTCAAGACGACGACTCAACAGTTTCTTGCTTGCGAAACCCTCATCCGTTGCATGCCAACCTCCAGCGCCAGCAATGAATGAGGCCCCCAACTGGGGGAAACCACCTAAAACTCCTACCCATCAAAATAATGTATCGTTGCTCCGTTCTATTCGAACATCTCGCGTACGCAACTCACCACTTCGCGGGCATGCACTAACCTCGATTGCTCCTCGGCTTTCGTCGTCCAGGGTTCAACTCTGCACGTTCAAAGGACGGCTATGGAATCCATGACCCCCCCCTGAATCTATCAAAGAGTCGCAGCCGCGTGGTGTTGGTGTCTGGCACCAGAGCAGCTGCTGGTGACGTGTTGTTGCAGCACTACGACTTTTGTGACTTCTTTTGCCTTGACCTCCTGTCACGGATGCAGCCTCCGTTGCTGCCCTACGCGATTTGCAGCAGTGCTGCACACAATACAGCACTGCAAGATGGTGGGGTTGTACTGCCTGCTCGTTGTTGTGCATGCGGTGGCCGTAGACTTCGCGCAAGCACAGCAAAAGCGTTCCTTGAAGTTTTTTCTTGACAAGGTTTTCTTTAACACCTCAATGCAGGCTTTCCAGCCAACGCACAACATAGCCTCTGCTGGATAGGATAGGTAGAAAAATGTGGCTTTTAATGGATGAACGCTTGCGGCGGTACTCGATACTGAGCACTTGGAGAAGGCTTTATTCCCTCTGTGACCCTGGAGAGCATCAACAGTAG